TTTTTTTAAAAACACATAATCTATACTATCTATACTATATTATAAAACATTTGACAAAAACTCTTAAAAACAATTTTTTATACACAAAGTATTGTTTATTGATGCATATTACTTAAATTTTAAGATTACAAGTAATTATGCATAAGTACAACTTATTAAAGTTCCATACTTGAATTAACACATGTATTTTACCTTTCATCCCAAAATAAATGTTCACAATAAAATGACATACATAAATGTGTAATTATTACACTTTTTAAATAATCAAATAACACTTTTTACCCTTCATGAAAGAGAGATAAACTTTCAAGTTTCACCGTCTCATAATTAAGGATATAATGAGAAAATAAGAACTTATATTTGAAAGTAGGCACTTCGTACATGACAAACTAAGGGTTGTGCAGTATTTGCTGAATGGTTTGGTGCAGAATGATTAAGTGGTTATAATGATTAAAAGACTCTCAGGATATAGTGCAAAATGAAACATAATTGTATAGTAATTATTTACAATGAAATTAGGGTGCTGAATAGTTAAGAGAGACACATGATACAAAATAATTCAGAAGATTTTATAACCATTAAGAGTCAAACATTTTTTTGTCAAACAAGATTTATCTCTTAATAGTTAAAAAATTGTCTCTTAATAAAACTATTAAAAAGTAAACAAACAACCCTTAAAATAAAAAAGATGGAGGAATTAGAGCATCGACAATGGAGGTCACAATTGAGGTTTCTTTTGGTGTTTTTACAAGAACCTCCAATGTGAGACATAAGTTGTTATTAAAACCCATTGTTTGAACATGAATCCAGAATCTTGTATACATTCTTTTTATGTTATTATTTTATTTATTATTTTGTAACCATTTTATTCTTTTAATAAATCTATAAAACATATAAGTTAAAATTAATAAAAAAATATAATTTAATTATTATTAAATAGTTTTTTTAATTTTTTTTTATTTTTCATTTCTTGAAGATTTTTTACAAGTTTTTGTATCTAAAAACAGTCTTCAATAAGTAAATTAAATAAAACTTAATAAGCAAACAGTTATTTAAATCTAATCTTTGTAATTATTTTTTTAAGAACATGTACAAAAGATTTTAGAGAATCAAAAATTAAATTTTTCACGAAAACTTAGATTCGTCTTCAACAACTTTTGCATTTAAAGATCATAATGTTATTTATATTATTAAAATATTTAATAGAATTAATTATATGTTAAAGTGTTGTAGAAGTTATTTTATACGACACGACTTGAAAAAATGTCATATGAACATAGGTGTCCTATAAATAGACGAGTTTACGGAACATTTCTCAAAATGTTTATATAAAATAACTAATACGACATTTTATTTAACGATCATTCTAAAACACTTGTTGAAACGTCCAAAAGCGTCCTATAAACCTATTGTAACATTTTTTAGATAGAACGCTTTATAATATGGTCTATAAACTTAAGTTTTATGAATTATTTCATTCATCAAATTTATGTAACTATTAACTCTTCAACCCAACCCAACCCAACCCAACCCGTCTCAACTCACAAGGGTTGAATTGAGTTGGGTTAGATTGAGATTTTCCAAACCGTCATGATTGAGTTGGGTTGTAGAAATGTTATAAACCGTCCAACCCAACCTGCTACACCCCTAATCATCTCTATTATTTCTTTATTTTGTAAAATTTATTAGAACAAAAATCTCATAATAATTTTGTTTTTGATTAACCTGGATATCCAACCCGCTATGCGAGTCGACTAATCCCAGGACGACCACCTGTTTTGCAGATAACTCGGAGTCATTGCATTTGAACCTCTGTGGCCACAAGAAGATTTTTATCCCTCCTTAGATTTGAATTTGGATCCTCCTAATACTTTTAACCTTTGAAATCAAGCTTAAACCAATCAAAAACCATCGTTATGATTAAATGTCATGATATTTATTTTGTAGTAGATGCCATAGGTATAAATCAATAATTTTTTTTTGTCTTTTTTTTAATGTACGGAAGTAATATTAAAAGAGGAGGGAGAAGCTTCGTAGAAAACCGCGTTGCGCTCAACGTAGTCGTCACCGAGTCGATAAACTTGGTTCGTACTATCCCCACCCAATTACACATAAGCACACAAATCAAACCATGCCACGTACACAAAACAACCGATCACCGGAAAGAATCCGCTCTCCGATTTGCTTCCTTAACCACAATCTTCAACCCTGGTTAAAATTTTGAGCTATAAATACCCCCACATTATCCTCACCTTGTTCACTCTATTAAGCAAAACCAAAACACACAGTCAAGGGTGAGAGAGAGTCGACTGCGCGGGAGAGTCTTCTGCTGTACAGGTATTCTTCATCTTCACCGAGAAAATTCTCCGATGATGGGTGTATTTTCATCTGAATTCAAAAATTGGATCATCCCATTCTTTTGTTTGACTTCGAATGTTGATACACTCGCATCATCTATAAATTTCATGTAATTTTATACGTTTCTAGATCGTCTTTATGTTTGTGTTTCGACAATCGTGCTTTTGTTTTGATGTTTGTAAATTTGAGTGGTAGTTTGTTGGATTTAGCGACTGTGTTACTGAATTGGGTGTTCGTTGTTTGTGGATCTTTTGGTCTGTGTGTCGTGGGATTATGCTTTTCATTTAAAGCATAAAGTTGTTCTTTCTGTTTTCTGTTGCTGGTTGAATTTGGAATTGAAATTTAGATGATGCCTGTTCTTCGATTTCTTACTTTTGTGGTCAAACTCATAGCTTGAAAGTGGATGATTGTGAATCAATGTATGCAATTATTACTTTTGATCATGATCTGGGAATTGATCACTTTGATCATATGATCGTGTTGTCGTCTGATGTTCATAAATTTTGGTTCATATCCTATGAGAATTGTTGATTTAGCGACTGTATTATTGTATTGCTGAACTGGGTGTTCTTAGATTGTGGATTTTTTGCCCTTTGTGTAGTTAAATAATGGTTTCCTTTTTAAGCAATAAGTTGTTCTTTCTATTTCCTATTACTGATTGTACTCGAAAAGGATTTTTGATGATATCTGTTCTTGCTGTTCTTCAATTTCTAAAATTTTGAGGTCAGATTCATAATTCCAAAAAGGGATGTTGGAAGTTCTTTGCACACACCAAAAACACTTATTAAGTCTGTTCTCGTGGTTAAGTGATCGCGTTTATGCCAATTCTGATACAACTATCACCTTTTGTTCCTTCATGTAGCAACAATTTTGGTCAAGATTTTGTTGTTCTTTGGTATAAGATTAGGCTGCAATGTGTCCTCCGGCATCTGTCCCTGTTGCAGCTGAAATTGGTGAAAATTGGACCGATGAAGGGATCTTTACGTCTTTGTCGAACTTCAAAAATGGAAGTCCTCTGCCCTCGAATGTAACTTCTGATGTAAATCCTTACCACTATAGGCCCTCGGATCTACCTGGTTAGTATTAATTCATTACCATCTGTTTTTCTCTATTTGTCACACTCTTCACAAGACAGGGTCTTCACGGAAACAACTGCTCTGCTCTTTGGGGTAGAGGGGTCTTCTTAGATCCGACCTCCAGATGGGATATAGTGGGTTCGTTTTGTTTGGTATGGTTTTTATGTTTTACAGTTCTTTCCCATTTCGCAATTGATGAAATCAAGATTTATACTCACGCTTGATGATGTTGTCCGATTGGTCATTCAATCGTAATATTATTCAGAAGGGGGTGGGTTCTTTTGAGAACCGTGAGAACCAATGAAAATCATGAATATTCGTATTTAAAAGAATATTCATTATGAATTATGTACCATTCATAATGAATATTGTGAATTTTCGTTATGAATATTCATAATGAATATATGATATCCAATTGTTTTCACGGATCTAAAATGAACTTTCCTCTATCAGACGAACCTTAAAATCATGGACTGTTTGTGTGACATGGAATCTTACCAACTGAACCTAACTTGCAGCCGACTTGTGGTACTTCTGCTCTTGCGTAAAAAAGGATGCAAAATGCGGATTCTGGGTGGAAACAGGGGATGCTTGTGAAGTGGTCTCTAACTCTACTATTCTTGGTTCGAGAACCACCCTTCAATTTTACGAAGGCCAGGCCCCATATGGACGAAAGACTGATTGGGTGATGCAAGAGTACAGGATAACCGAAAAGTTCAAAGACAACTTAAAGGTATAAACACTATCTGTTACACCCATAATAACTGCAACATCTCCTTTCTTGAAAAGATCCAAATTGCATTGATTTGGATACACAAGATTCTTTTATATGTTCCCATTGATGGGTATTTTAGAAGCTTTGCTGCCATTCCAAACCGTATATCTATAATCTAACATGGCTAGTGACTTACTGGTTTTGTTGGATGGATAAATACACAGGATCATAGAGCATTATGCAGAGTGTTCTTGGCTGATGATAATAGACCATTCACTGGCCACAGCATTGCTAACATTGATGGCAAAATCTGCATTAATTTGGACCCAAAGACAGTTTCACATGTGAATACCAGAGAACAAATTTCTACCAGTGAACTTTTGGTGAGTTAGCTTAAATTCTCTAATGGTGTCTATAATGGCTTCTTTGGTCTCCAATTTGAAAACTTTTGTGGATCTTTTGATCGTTTTTCTTATAGGAAAACAAGACAGGGATGAGCAGTAGGAGATCTCAAGATTTTCTTGAGAACTCCTCTGAAATGGATTGTCTTTTGAGGGGAGATTACTTTGAGTTGAACGATCTTATCGATCCTGGATACCATTCCTCAAGTTCTGCTAATTCTAGCTGCTTAACCATGACATCAGATGAATACTTTGATTCAATCGCCCTATTGCAAGAGCTAGAGGATGATATTAAAGATCAAGAAATGAAAGATTCAAGTCTCAAGTTCTATCTTTCTACGACTGTAAAGTCCAAAGGAGTGGTCATAGTCCCGCCCACTTCAGGTATATATATGTGCCGTGAGAACCATAAATAGTTTGAGAACCGTGAGAACCAATATCTATACTATCTTATAAAACATTTGGCTAAAACTCTTAAAACTCTTAAAA